TGTCCTAAGTCGCTGTTTACTTGTATTTAATCGCCTTACATCACATGTAAGGATATTTATATAACCACCGTACTTGGAATTCTAGAACGAGTATTTGCATGAGATCTAGTTGTTACAACTACTAGTCTTTCTTTTGTTTATGCATTCTTAGTAGAAGAAGTAAGCACCCGAGCAATCAATCCAAATGCCCACTTCCAAAAAACGGTGAGGCGTGAGCTGTTAAAAAAAATTAAAAAATTTATTTATGTGTCATAAATAATTTTAAAAAAGTGTTTTAAATTTAAAAGTATAAGAAGGTCGAGCCCTCCATTCTTCTTATCTCTCTATCTCCTATATTTATTCATTTCTCTAATTTTTTTTCAATATTTTTTATCTCTCGTACTATTCCTTTTCCTTACTTCATTCTCTAGATTTAGTTTATTATTTTGCCCTTCAAAAAGGAAATATAACTCAAATCCTCTATTTATATTTTTTTTCTTAGTCTAGAGGAAATTTAATGATTTAATCTTTAAAGTAATAGAGTTAATGTGTATTTAAATTAACCCTTTTATTCTTCAAAAATAATGGCTCAGTCGCTTACATAGTCTTTGACATTTTTATAATTTTACAATAATTTTGGGCCATCTTCAATCCTCCGTTTCAAGCACTTGCACTCACGTGCCCCTCTCCTTGCCACTTATCTTTAATTTTGTCTCTTTTTTATTTTTTTATGCCTTTCCACAGTTGCCCACAACTGTACTTGGAATTTAGAGATACATCGTGTAACATAGAAGAGTCAAATTAAGTTTAGGGTTTAAATTTACCTAAAAAATGAAGTTTAGGACTTGCTATGAAACATAACCTTTAATTTTTTTACTCATGTTATTTTCTAATCTTTGTATAAATTGATGCTTTCTTTTTGTTAAGTTTATTTAGAATTTAAAATTATAAATTCATTACAAATAATTAATTTTTATTAATATTTTATATATTTTTATGATACGAATGATGAAAAAATCTATAACTACAAAATAGATCAACATCACACTCCAAAACAAAACTTGATAATTTTTTCTGGCATC